TTGATAGTTGAATTGAGCTTTATTCCTTACTATAGTTGCATTAATTTGTTGTCAATTGGAGAAAAGATAGTTTATTTGATATAAACTTGGTTCATTAGGACCTGATAATATGCCAAGAATCAATATATTTTCATGTTTAAATCATATTTTATATAGCAAATTTGCAATAGCCTCATATATAACTCCAGTACTATGTACTTTATTATTAAATAGTTAAAACCAGTCGATATTTAGCACTAATCCCAAATATGAATCAACCATCTCTTTGCTAAAAAATAATTCTAAGTTTTTATCTTTAAAAGTTTTCCAAATATTACCATTATAGATATCGCATAGAAGTTCGTTAATGCTTGATCGATCTATTCAATGCTGAAGATTAGATTCAAAATTTGAATTTTGATATATTTGCGACAATTGATATCAAATAGTAGAATATGAAAAAACTAAATTGGGCCAATTAATTATATTTCTGTTTAATAATTCTGATTATTTTAGTTGTGCATCTGTTACACTATTTGATAAATTAAATCAAATTCTATAGTTCATAATCTACAACAAAATCCACATAAAATAACTATCTGAAAATTTGCTAGAATTTGGTGAAAATTCGTATTTTGGTGCTGAATAATCTTTGAATATATCATTTATTTCTTCATCATTATCAACTTCAGATTTATCATTTTCAGAACTTGCATCATTTAATCTCAGATTTTATTGATTGTTGCTTAATGACATAATTTGACTTGATAAAATATTTCTCGTTTTGTGTCAAAATGTGAATTCTTTATTTATCGAATATTCACCTTTTATTTTTTTATATTTATATGAAAATTCTGTTTGTGGGTTAACAAGTGATCTATTGTATTTATTACAGTTGCACGTACTTTTTGCTTTTTGGAGATTTTTTCTTAAACTTTCATTAAGTAAAGCTGAAATTGAATGCTTTCTTGATATTTTGAAAATTAAAAAATAGTAACATAAAGTGGCAAATTTGTAATTGATATATTAAATAGCTTTAAATTATAATATAATACAAGTGTAATATGATGAATAATATATAGTATAATATAGTTTGTAACTCTGAATTGTAATATAATATAATGAATAATAATATAATATTATATGTAATCCCGAATTGTATTAAAACAATACAAATAATTTTATTTAAATATTCCTTTAATTTAATTTTTTTTTCCGATACCTAAAATGTTTAAACAAAAAAAACCAACTGGATACACTTTTTACAGAGAATAGTCACTTTCACCTTCGCAGCCTTTACAACCTTCCCTGCCATCACAAACTTCCTTCACATCAATTGCATCAGAAGCAGCAACAGTTCGTTCAATAACACCTAATACCAAATCTTTAATTCCTACTATAATTACCGAATTGCTTAGAAGAAGGCCATCTATTATATTGTTTAAAATATTGATATCTGAAGTTGCACAAATATAAATGCCGGAAATTGAATTGCCAGCTGAAACTCAAACCAGGGAGGATATTGAAAAAAGTTAGAATTAAATTATTGTCAAATTATTAAAAATTATCATTATTAACTAAATGATTTATTTAGAAAATTAAGAATTATGCGCATGGGTCGAAACACTAGAAAAAGAAAATAATGAATTTGTAAAACAATTAGACCTAATAGAATATATTAATAACAAGTTTTCCAAAGAATCAGAATAGTAAAAAAATAAAATAGAAGATTTAAAAAAGGAAATTGATTATCTCAAATCTGTGAAACTTGAACTTGATCCTATAGTTGCTGTAGAATCTAGAGCAATCAATATATCAAAATCTGAAAGTTTGCTGAGTTTAGGAAAGCACTGATAAATTCAACCTAGGAGGAGTAGTAAAGAGACAAAACTGATAAAACCAGTTACTGAAGATGAGCTGAAACCAGAAGAAATGAGAGCAGAAATGAAAGTCTTAATGAAAACCATTTCTGATTAATATGAACTGAGGATAGACAAAGTTTTTTCAAGTAATGTGAATAAAAAATATTACAAAAGTTGATATCCGAATTAATAAAATCCATGACCTTACATTTTAATCCTTCACGAAAACAAATAAATGAATGATTAGGTGCTTTATATCACTATTAGAGAGAAAGATATCAAAAGACAGAAACTAAAAAACTAGAAGTGGACAATTGTCGCTTACATGCAAATAGCTGTTTAAATGAAGTAAGATTAATAATATTCTGCATTTATACTATCTTCAAGTATTAATTTTTAATGAATAATTAAGAAAAGGGCATGAAGAATTAAAAGTATACAGTCGTCTATTGAACGAAAGTCAAAGAAAGTTGCCAAATATCGGAATGAATTAACAGATATAATTAAAAAAACAAAAGTATATTCACTTAAAGAAAGTGACACTGATCTGGAAAACCCCACTAAAAAAAGAATAAATATATATGATTACAGTTAACATTCTGAAGAGATATTTTTCAGTAAAATATTATATACTGAATAATTACAATATTAATCATAATTACTTATTATATTTAAAGGATTTATTAATATATTTGAATAAAAATTCAAAATCAATTCAAGCATTCCAGTCAACTCGTAAATGATATTGTGCCAATTTATATTTCTATAATATAATGCCACCAGAAGGCTTGCCGAATTGGGCATATGGTTTGAAAGAAACTTTGGAACATGAACAAGAAAAAAAAGAGACAAAAAAAGAAAAAAAAATCAATAGTTAAATCCAAAAGATGAAAAATTATTGAATATAAGGAATCATTAATATATTTAGAGGGTAAGAAACAAATTTGGGAAAGTGTACAAATGGGCAAAATTTGAGGATAGTTAGTTAGATTAGAAGAAAAAAGTAAAAAATCTTAAAAAATATTTGGTAAAATAAGATCAATTGGGGCTAGTTTTAAAAGAGTCAAATCAAGATCTTTAAAAGGAAAAGAAAAGCAAGTAGAAAAAGAGAAAGAGGTAAAAAAGGAAGAGGAAAATGACAAATAATTTAGTTAATTAAATTTATAATTATTAAATAAATTTCATGAAATTTGAATTTTTTGCTACAGTAATTTTTTTGCAGAATTTTTTTTCTGCAGTAATTTTTTTGTTGAAATTTTTATTGTAGTATCAATTTTTTTTACCAAATTTTTTGTTACAATATTAATTTTTTTGCTGAATTTTTTGTCACAGTATCAATTTTTTTGTCAAATTTTTTGTTGCAGTATCAATTTTTTTGCCAAATTTTTTGTTGCAGTATCAATTTTTTTGTCAAATTTTTTATCGTAAAATTTTTTTTTGTTACAATATTGCCAGATTTTGTGTTAAATTTTTTTTTCGCAGAATATCAATATTTTTTTGCTGATTTTTTGCTGATATTTTTAATGTCAAGTGGCAGCAATCATAAATAATTCATCAATCTTTTTATTATTAATTTTTGTCAAATTCAGTAATAATTTAGCAGCTGAATGGCATAATTTTGACTAGTGTTTTATTATTATTTACTTTAAAAATAAAAAAAAATTTTCAAATATTTTTTATATAATTTTTCTTTTTTAAAAAGCTTTTTTTATTATTAATAGTAAAAGTATTATTTAATTGTAGAAGTCAAGTTTATTATCAAAAAAACTTATAAATAATAATAATTTTTAAAGATCTTTTCAAGTTTTTTTAAAATTATTAATAAAATTTTATTAATTAAAAATCAAAAAACTTTTACCAATTAACTTTTTTATATATAATCAAAAAAAAGTCTATTTTTAAATACAATAATATAATTATTAGAAACTAAAAAAATAAAAACTTATAAAAATTTTATATAATTAAAAAATTCATTAATTATAAATTTATATAAATTTATTACTTATTACTATAATAAGTTTATACAAAATGTAAATGCGACGACGACAGGATTTGAACCTGTGCGGGCAAAGCCCATGTGATTTCTAGTCACACTCCTTAACCGCTCGGACACGTCGTCAGAGAATAGCTAACTTCTAGTCAATTAAATTATGAAGAATTATTGTTTAATTTATGTTATGACTAAATTGACAAACAGCTGCGTCTTAATAAGAGATGCTGGTAACAGATGCCTTCACATATAATCTGTATTTTCTTTTTCACATTAATTTATTTTAGATGAAGAATCCCCATGCATAAAGCTAAATCGCCCAACTAATAATATTGTATGAAAGATAGTTAACTGATCTGAAATATTCGCTAATCGAAGAAATTTCACGGCTCTAATTAAATTTATTATTTCTAATGCACGCGTAATTCTATGATGAAATACTTCTATAAATCAGCTATTAGGCATTGAGGTATAAAAGCGCTGACTATTCGATTTCTATTTCATCGGAAGAAATTTTGTTATATAAAGGAAAGTGTAAGAAGGATGACTATTACAAATACTGAGAAATTTTAAATTACCTTCCACCATTTTTCCACAAAAGGTTTTGTAATAGCGGTAAATAGCAATCCACTAGTTATTATTATATAAAAGTACACTATCACCTCATCTTTGTATGAATCGCGTTCTAAATTTTGGTGAAAATACATCTTAGTAATTATGAATTTTGATTACGATGAAGTAACGATATCGGATGGCTTACCAAAACAAGTAGCCGTGACTTGACTCACACCTTTTCCAACATCCCCCTGCAAAGTATCTACAGTAGCCGTACAATTATTACCCATAATGCTAATGCAAAATGCCTTATTGCAGTCTGAACAAAATTTTCCCGCTTCTAAAGCCCTAATAGTAATATTTTCCGCGCACGCACATTTACAAAACGATATAACGTTGGCTGACCATGTAATTGGTGCATTTAGTAGTAATATACACAAAGTAATAAACACGCTACGTATATTTGAAAAGTATAGTAACATTTTGCTCCTTTACAGAGATCGGGATTTTAGTAAAAGATGAAAGCTTCGTTACCACGTCATTGTTTATATTCTCTGTTGTACAAATAAAAAACGCTCCGGATAATATATGCACGTGACCATATACTTTATATTTCATTTTTCGGCTACTTTTTCCAAAATCTTTTCGATAACATTGGAAGGCACATTAGCAACCTTTCCACCCAACCTCTTAATAACTAATTGTGGCCTAGTCCTATGTATATGGTCATAAATACATTCCATTCCTCCAGGTTTAACATCATCAAATCCACCGCAGGGGGGTTTTCCGAACTTCTCGTCCCATGCTTTTACCAAGTTTAAACAGAATTCTGCTCCACATGTCCTATTCAATGCCACTCTACATTCCTGACATTGTATAAATAATAAATTACACACTTTGTTTCGGCAATTTGTATGTTTGTCACACGGCTTTCCGCACGTGTGACATTGTGCAACTACGTCGTCTGTGATTGGTTCACCAAGGCGTTTGTCAAATGTGAAATTACGACCTCTGAAAAGAGATTTTATTGACGGGTTTGTGGAGATATAACGTCCGTAGGCTGTAATTCCTCCTTTAAGAACGTTAACCGATTTAAAACCATTTGATCGGAGAATCGCTCCAGCTTTTGAGCATCGAATCCCACCTAAACGATGTTAGAAACTGTTGTTATGCCAAGCGTCCTAATAGCATGAAATAAATAAGGCTAATAATACTTTACCAGTACAATACATATAAATTTCTTCATCTTGTTTTCCCTCACATATTTCATTCATTATCTTTATACCATCACGAAAGGTGTCTACATCCGGGCGAATTGCATTTTCGAAATATCCAATCTCGCTTCATATAAATATTCCATGAGCAAGAAAAAAGATATGTTTTTTCAGAGAATGGCAATTCTTCAATTTGCTAACCTTTCATAATGATTTCTCATATCTATCAGAGTAATGGGTTTTTTGACATTCGATAGTGCTTTATGCCATTCGTCAGGTGTAAGGTGATTAGGTTGATTGGATAAATCGTAAGTTCCCTCTTCTAATCCATCTGCAACGATCTTTACAAGTGTTAATGAGCTATCAGCTTATCACTAATACGCATGAGGAAATAACCGTACAAACCTGATGCCGAATCTTTACGTTCAATTTTCTAAAAGCCTTCAAATGTATCGTCGAGTAATTAAATTCCATGTCGTTCAAATTCAATTCCCGGTTGCAGTACTCCCTTAATTCCGACAATTTTGCGACCGGGCATGATAATTGGGCATTTATTCCTTCCGATGCTATATAAATCCTTCCAACTAATCCCATCTCTCCGAATTTCTCCAGCATTTGTTCACGCATTCTTTGTAATCTTGACCGAGGAATCTCATGGAACGAATAAAACGATAATGTTTTCCATTCTATGGATGGTTCGTTCTTTTTTGTACCGAAGTCGTTAGAAAGATTACCATCAATTATATTATTATAAGAAGGTGTTTCTTTCTCATTTGTATCACGATTGATAGATGTGTAAGAGCGTACGGAAAATCCAAAATCGCTTATTTTATTAGTTTTACATATGTGAAAATATTTAATCTTTGATGAATTATTTACTCCCACTCTTACAAAGTATTGATTCGCTAGTATTGTAAACGATAAATTTTTTAATGCTATTTTACTTGCGCGCAGCATTTCCGAGTATTGACACGACACGGGTAATAGTTTTTGTTTTTTTTCAAAAAAAAATTTTTTTCAAACGTGCATAAGTTTTGTCATCCCCTAATTTGATTGGTACCTATTTTTATACAATAGATTCAAATCTTGACATTTTCTATATACTGTATATCCAATTGACTTAAATATAGTTAGGCTATATAAAGATAAAACTTTTGATTTTTTTTTTTTTAAAGGATTAACAGAGATCCAGTTTATTGAGGTTATTAGTATCAATTAATAGTATATACTGTATGTGGATAATAGTATTACAAAGTTATTTTATAATGATATGATTCTATATCTAACCTATTTAGATTCATAAAATTTGTTATCAAAAGAACTTCAATTATCTTTTTACCTATGTTCAAATCTTTCACCAACTTATAATTTTTACCTTTGCTTTCAATTTGAGACCCCTTTCATATCTTATTTTGCTAAGTATTCTTTTTTTTTTTTTTATTTGATAAGCTTATACTTAACTTTATTAATTTTCAAATTATAAATGTATATTATATAAAGTATGAATATATAGGTATATAGTATATTTGGGATTGATAAAGATAATGATAAGTTAATGTTATTTCTAAAGCTATTTCAAGGCTTATTGTCCTTTTTTTTATAAAAGAAAAATTAGTATTCCTAGAACATATCAATGTTATAAATAAAAATAAAATAAAAAATAAAAATAAAAATTAGACTATCATGTATAATATACTGATTCTATTTTTTGGCACATACTGTCTTGTTCTGATTTCTTCTGTGAAGAGGTTTAGGAGAAAATTTTTACTAAGTCTTTACAAAAATAAGATGAATGTCAATAAGTGAGATTATATAGTTTTAAGACTTGTAAGCAGGAAATAATCAGAAAGGTCTAGGTAATATATTGATGTTCACATAATTGACGTGAAAGTTTTTCAATATATCATTGATTAAATCCATTTCTATCTAAATATAAATATACTATACTTATTCATCTATACATCTTATTTCAGATTTAATTCCTTATAAGAAAGATAGTATCTAGCCTTACAATCGACATATCCTATTGGTGGCTATTGGTACTAATAATCAATATGGATTTTTCAGATATTCTGGTCAACTTGCACATTACTGTTGATATTTTTGAACTCAAGTTTCAATAGGTGTAATAATATTAATCTTCCAGCCTTCCAACTTGGATTTTTTAAAAATAGGATGAAAACTTCTTAGATTACTTTGTATATGAGCTTTACTATTAAGTATTCTTAATAGTTTTATACTTTTTCTAATTTAGACTTTTTCAAGCAATAAAGATTGAAACCTACCTAATATACAATCAGAATATAGGTGGCTCTGACTTGAAAAAGATTAGTCGAATATCTTGTGACTTTTATCATGATTGAATAAACTTTTTCTTGTATTCAATAATATATCAGTAATATGTTCTATATTTACTCACACTTAGAGATCATAACAGATCAAATCAGATCAGATTTTAGGTAAATTTGATTCAAATATGATTGGATCAGTTTTTATTTAATTCGATCTGTATCCAAATGAATTTATTTTTATTTAATTTGTATCTGTTTGGTTAATCTGATATCTTTTTTTTTTTTATTCGTTTTTCCTTATCTAATGTTTACTTGCTATCTTTAGGTTTTATATATAAACATTTAGTTAATAATTTATATTTTTAATATTTATAATTTATTGCCATTTACAATTATTTTTTTTTAAATTAAAATATACATCTGTATAATTTAAATTTTCTGCAATACTGCTACAGCCTTAGTTTTTTTTATTGATTCTTCTAGTACTAGCAAAGCAAGAGGATCTTGTTGAAATTGTTCTTATCAATACTCTAAATGTTTTTTTTTTCGATTTCTTCTTTTCACTTTTTAATTGCTGTTACTGTTTTTTTTATCAGGTTTTTGATAAACCACTAGTTATACCTTTCTTTGGCAAAACAGTTGTGCCATGTAACTCATATTCTGGCCAGTAAAAAAAAGTGTTGCCTTGTATAAAAATTTAAATAAAAACTTAGTATTTTATATTTCAAACCTTTTTATTATTTTTATAAAAATATCTGTCATCTCTATCTTTATTTTCTATTTAATCATATAGAAGTTGCTTCTATCAAAATCTCCTTCTTGGCAAGTAAATTCTGGATCACTTTCAGATCAAATTCCTCTTAGGCAGCTGGCTGCAATTGCATGGTCCAGGAAATTTGTATTGGTATGGGCAAATTTGTTATACCTTCAGGATACATATGCTTTACAAAGATCTAAGAGATGGTTAAGTTTGATTTCTTTTTTGTTATAAAAATTGAGATACATTTTTTGACTGCTCCATATTTGTTTCTATCTAACCTTGGAAGTTTATACTTGGCAATTTTTTGCTATATACTTGAAGTCACATTGATAGGAAAAATATCTATTCCATAGTTAAACAGGAGGCTAGTCATCATGACAACTTTTTCTTCATACATATACTGTTGACTTGTTCCTTATAACTCTTTCAGTATATTAAAAACATATATAAAAATTCCACATTTCTTTGTCAATAGATATCAAAAAATTGTTGTTAGTACTGCTCAAGTATGAAATTAAACATATATGAATTTTATATACCCAGTAACTACCAATGCTTCTTAATTAAGTTTCAATATATTATTAGATTAGACAATCCTTCTTTGTAGTTGATACATTTCCAGTACTGTATCTTGTATAATATTTAAAACTTCAGGTTCAATCTGATTATGATATACAGCAAGCAATACCTTGCCTAAATCTTTGTCATGAATTATAATTTCTTCATTTTTTTTTATTACATTCAGTAAACAGGAGACAGGATTAATGGCTTATACTATACATGTGAAAGTAGCAGATTTACTTTTTCATACAATCACTTTCCTTTGATTTTTTTTCATTATATCTAAGCAGGATTCAAGAAATATCATTTTTACTTTGTGAACATTGGCAAAGTGTTTTTGTGTCATCAGGTTCTCCCTTACCTAAAATATAAAGGTATTAACTAGGTTTTTTATTATTAAAACTATTTGAACTTACAAAATTTTTATGTGTTTTTATTTTATTTTTTTTCAATT